GATAATTTAATAATATATATATATATATATATATATATATAATGTGATATTTGTTAATTATTATTTTATAACGTAAGATATGATGCTTTACATGATAAATCAATAAATAAAAGTATGTTTGATTTGCAGAATTTTTTTGAGAATATAGATTTTATGGAGGAATTTGAATTGGAATGAATTTGAAATCATTGGTGTATTTAGTTTGTAGGATTTGAAATGAAATTGGATTCCATTATTTATAAAAAAAAATTATAAAATAATTAAATTACATATTTATTAATTGAATATTACAAAACGAATGTTTTTAACATTTTCTAAAACCTTATTTAATAAAATCCTACAAAATCTCGAGCACTTTTTAAGGATTTCAAAGTCTTATGTTTTTAGGATTTCAAATCCGGATGATCCAACAAACCAAACATTGGATTGGAATAGATTTGAAATCCAAATCCCCCCAAATTCATTCAATTCCTATAAACTAAACGGGACCGTAGTGATCAACAATATCATATGTAATATTATACATACTAAAACCACATAAACTATTCGATTTACCACATGTGATAATACAAAAGGTAAAACACAAAAATTATCAGATATATTAATCTATTAGTAATATCACAAGTGATAAAGTCGATGGTAAAATACAACCACTTGTTACCAATATAACATGTAGTAAAATTTAGATAAAATGTGTGATTCGGTATTAAATAACACATACTCATGCTTTGAAATTACTTTACGATCACATGTGATTTAATACAAGATCACACAAAGCTGTAAAATCATGTAGATCACCTGTGATATATTATACAAATAAACTCCTAAAAATGATCAAGTTGTATTAAATCATACATGATAATGTATATCATCTATGTAAATATATATCATATGTGATGCTAAATTATAAACGCAGACAACCTTTGGCGCGTGCTAAGTCGTAGAACACGTCGTCTGTACATTAGAGGGTCCCCCACACGTATTATCACATGTGATAAAGGTGTTCTCACATTCTCGTTTGAACCTCCATCTATATCTATACTATATTATAAAACATTTGGCTAAAACTCTTAAACCCGTTCATCCCTAAACGATTTCATCCCATATCTGAATTCGTGTAACTAACTGCAGATAAACACAATAAAATACAGGATAAACATCTCATTTTAAATATAAAAAATCTAAAATATAATTAGGATAATCATTGAGTTCTAACAGAATACTTAATTATTAAATTTATAT